AGTTTTGGGCTCCACAATTCAAAAAGGGTGTGGAGAAGCTTGAGAGAGTCCAGAGAAGAGCCACGCGCATGATCAGAGGTCAGGAAAACAGACCTTACAATGACAGGCTGAGAGCCATGGGGCTGTTTAGCCTGGACAAGTGCAGGCTCAGGGGTGATCTGATGGCCACCTATAAGTTTATCAGGGGTGACCACCAGGATCTGGGGGAACGTTTGTTCACCAGAGCACCCCAAGGGATGACGAGGTCGAACAGTCATAAACTACTGCGAGACCGTTTCAGGCTGGACATAAGGAAGAATTTCTTAACTGTCCAAGCCCCCGAGGTCTGGAGCAGCCTGCCATCGGAGGTGGTTCAAGCACCTACATTGAACACCTTCAAGAGCAAATTGGATGCTTATCTTGCTGGGATCCTACGACCCCAGCTGACTTCCTGCCCTTTGGGTGGGGGGCTGGACTCAATGATCTTCCGAGGTCCCTTCCAGCCTTAATGTCTATGAAATCTATGAAATCTTATATTACTTTCCCAATCAAATTTTCAGCTTGCATTGTAGTGGTTTTCCATTACTGGCATCATCTTCAATCCACGCCATGCGTTACACGTGCACCCAAATTTTGAAGTCCTTTCTTGAGCAGAATTCTCTTTAACTCAGTGGAAGTTTTACATGAGCAGGGACAGACTAAGAACCGAAGAAGGACTTCAGATCTGCAGTAGATTTACGTGCTTCTGTATATTTCAGAAACTCTCCTCTAATCTTCTCTGGCTCATCACATTGCTCAAATCTATCGGGTGCTACACAGCAGCTGGGATCTTGGCAGAGAATTTCCACCTCCGTTTTCAAGGTGCTTTAATAATTCTTCATCTTGAAGCCAAGCTGGTGGGAGTGAGCTGGGAGGAGAACTGCTGTGATAGTGATTGCTGATCATTCCTACCTTATCCCAGATCCTCATAGCACATGGTAGACTATAGTCTTTCCCTTAGTGAAGTAGCTTTTGTTACCTCTGTCCCAGATGGTGACCTTTTCTGCCTTTGGGCAGCTGAGTTGTACAAAACAGCTCTCAGTTACAACCCCAAACTACCACCATAAGAAACAAAGGCATGTAAGCTTTTTATAGTTGCTAAAATATGCTGTATTTTAAAACCTCAGTGGCAGTGGAATATTATGTGAAATGACCATAGTATCGGTGTTTACTGCGCCTTGGAATTACATCCCCACTTTGTACTTCAAACAGACATCAAACAGTGTCCGTGGTAAATTATTCAATCATAAGGAAAACACAGGAGATAAGTGTCATGCTGAGATCATATAACCAGCAATGATTAGGTTCAGATTAGCTGACTGAGGCACCAAAAGAGCAAAAATGAATACAGATTTGGATGCTTCTTGACTGAAACATTTTTCCATCAAAACATGCAGATTTGAGTTGACAGAAATTTTATGCAAATCCTCTTGGTTTCAGTGGCTCATTTCACTCAGATCTTTTAAGCAAATTCAAAACGGGAATTTTTAAACATTTTTTAAATAAAATATTTTAATTTTTCCAATTAAAACAATATTTTGCTAAGAAATTTACTCTCACAAATTTGTTATTTTTAAGCTTTAATAAACCCACAAAACCAAAATGATACATTTCATTTTGAGGGGAATAAATGTTTCATTCATCCCAAAACAGACATGTCTGTTTTTTTTTACTTTCTGTTAACCAGAATGCTTTAAAAAAATTATACCAACCTGAAATGATTTTTTTTCAACTTTTTGGAATTCCCAGCAAACTAAAAAATCACTTGTTCACAGTCCTACATATGATTAGTCACACTGAAGGTAATGAGTTTTGTTGTGATCTTTAGGCTAAGCACATACTTATATGCTTTGGAAAATGAGAACGGCCTGAATGACAAGACTGACTATAGTTGTTGTCAGGCCAAAGGGAGAGCTATAGATTAGCAGATCAGATCTTACCACTCAACCTCCAGGATGCATGCTTGGTAAAAATTATTCATCTTGTTTAGTTAGTTTCTCTTGATGTACAGGTTTGTAATAATATCTAAATATCCTCAGCAGAGCTAAGTTTTCATAAGACAGTCAGCCTTGTGTGAAGAGGTACTTTCAGCATGTCTGTAGCCCTAAACTGTCATAAAGGAGACCCACCAGCCTAATTATTCTTGCATAATCAGAGGGCGATGGTATTATTACAGCAACCTACATCCACCTCCCACTTTCTTCTCATCTTAAACCTGCTGCTTCTGCTTTTCTTACCAGACATATTTCCCGTGAGACACAATTATCACTTAATGCATAATGCAACTGCATATGTGTTGCATTGTGTTCCCAGACAGCAAGATATTTGATCCCATAGTTTATCTAATTAAGAACCAGATTTTTCCTCTCATCCTAAGAATGAAGTAACGTATTGATTGCTCAGATATGAAGTTTTGCTGCAAATGTCTGTAGCTTCTACATGCGATCCTATAATATACCGCAAAATCACTTGATTCTGGAAAACAAACGAGGACTCCCTCCTCAAGCCATTTCACTTGCCCACCTGTTCTCTTCTCTCCCATATCCATATCCAGAAAAAGAATTGTTCTTAAGAGGCTAAAACAAGATCCTTGGATATATTCTGGTACGGTTCTTTTAGGAACATGCTGCCACACTTCAGGCAATTTTAAAGAGTCTTTAGCCTTTTTATACAAAATATTTCGATCATCTCTATGTCATTTCTTGTGGGCAAGTGGTCACTTCAGGTAACTACCATCACTGTTGCCCAAATGGGCATCTTAAAGTCAGCTGTCTGGGCAGAGAGGCCAAGATCTGAACAGACATAGAGAGTGTACTATCTCCTACATATGCCAGGATCTTCCCAAAAGTAGCACACTGATTGGACGTGAAACATGGAGCTCCTTTATTCAGGGCCCATGTTTCCCCAAAACTCCTCCCCTTCTTTGCCTCCACTTCCTTCCCTTCTGCTTTTGTCTCCTTCTCCCCCCGCACCCACCCTCCCAGTATTCTCCTTGCTTTTCTTTTTTCTTTCCTGTTTTTCTCTTCTGTGGTTTTCTTTCTTTCCCCCCACAGATATACCTGTGCTGCAGCTCTTGCCTATATTACAACCTCTGAGGGACTAGCAATAGCTGCAGAGTGAAAATGAAATACCCTGGTCACTTTCATTTTTGGCTCTTGTTGATGCCACTGAGGAAGCATTATCAGTAGGAGCAGCAGCATTTGACTGATTCTCTCCAGGAATTAGTTAATTAGCCAATGTTTATAGGGTGCTTTGAAGATACAAATCACTCCATAAGTGTTTAGTGGTAATTATTATCATTATCATAATTAATTTCAAAATGCCAGAAGTGGGATGATGAAAAATGCAGCATTCCGCACACTCCTATGTCTGTTTCAAACCCCTGTTGTGATTATGTTTTTTTCTAACATAGACAGCTATCCGGTAGAGAGTGGATAGAGGCAATCAACTCCTTTCCTAAAATGGGTAATAGCTGTTAAAGGCTTTTGATCTCTAGCAGCTCCGAGAGGATGCAAATCAGTGACGTACAGGTGAAAGGCTTTTTGTTATCAGATACCAGGGTTGACTAGCACCCTTAAAATGATGCCTCATCTCTAACGTATAAAAGTTGAACCTTCCAAAGGACATGAGATGCTGTATAGCACAATGATGTCCTAATAGTCATGTCCTCCTGCACTGTTCTATTCCAGGATAAAGAAAGGCATTGAACCCTTAACTTCTTTCAGTGTCTTCAGATAATATAAACCATAAAAAACCCTAGACTCTATACTCTTTGTCTGTAACTTATACCTCTGTGCTTCTGCTTCTTTACGGTTTTGTAATATTATCAGAACTTTGCAGATCAGAACAAGAGCTTAGGCTCTAATTCTGAAAATATTTATTCACATCCTTAACTTTAACCATGAGTTGCCTCCTTGAAGGCTGTGTTACCTATATGGCACAGTTGCATGATTTTTTTGTCCCTTCTGTTATACTTCTCAGAGGATTATAGTACAAGTTGCTAGCTGTATATTTGCTTTGTTATTCAATTCATGATTCTAAGACAAGAGCCTGTTGCACTGATTTCTGGAAAGGTGTGAGAAGAGTAAGTAGGTGAGAGAAGCATTGATCCTTGTGTTAACGGGGAGGACATAGGTAGATCTTAAAAGGGACCTGCTGTGACATAAAAAAAATGATCAAAATAGAAAACAATCCTTTCTTGTAAATTGAATTGATGTTCTTATATAGGATCATGTGGACAATCCACGGTACGTGAAATATCTGTGATGTCACGTAAAGCATTTCTGTGAGCTTTTACTTATTAATTTAATTATTTATTGGGGTTTCTACAGCAACAACAACAATAACAAGAAGAAGAAAAAGAAATAGTACTTATCCAGAGCTCCAGGTATCCCTTACACAGTTGACTAAAAATAGAATATAAAATATGTCATGAGCATCACTCTGATTTAGCAATAGCTGACTTTCAAAGGTCTTACCTGAACTACGGAATTTCATTTCCATTTTCCAGCATTGATACAGCTACATGGTTGTTTCAACATAAATATGAAATGTCAAAGTATAAGCTCACGATTTTTATAATTATTGTTTCCCATCTGAGACACAGATGGTCCTTTACAACTGTTCTTTTGACAATTAACTTCACCAGCCCGATGTATAGAAGCATCAAGCACATATAAAGGCACTGGGAAATGCTTCACAAATGGCCAGTGTAGCATTTTGCTGATTATATATTCTACAAACGATAAAGTAGACTGTACAATCAACTTCTTCATTTTAAATGGTTTTGTCTGATGAATAATGTTATTCTGGCTGGAATGATATAGTTGGGGATGCTCCTGCTTTGAGCAGGGGGGTGGGCTAAATGACCTCCTGAGGTCTCTTCCAACCCTAATTTTCTGTGATTCTGTGTTACATAGCATTGCCAACATGTGCCCTATTTCACTGCTCTCCCATGTCCATGCCATTTATATCTGCTTAAGGTATCACGTCTGGACAAAAGGGCATGCGCCAACGAACTTTGCTAAGTGGCGAACTGCCACCACCCCTTATCGAGTGGAGTGGGAAGCAGACTTTGAGCCATATGTTGTTGTGAGGCAGGACTGCCCAGAATATGACAGGAGGTTTGTTGGATTCGGCTGGAACAAAGTAGCTCACATCATGGAATTGGATGCACAGGTGAGAAACAACTCCTGAACAGTCAGCCTAAGGGGGTGCATGTTTTTTTGTTTTTTTTTAATGAAAACCTTGTCCTATGGAGTTAACTCAGCTTCTGCATCATAGAATCATTGCCCAGGTATATTGGACTCTGCAAGTGGTTGTTTCAGCTGCAAGAGAAAGCCCTCTGTACTATTTGTTGAGAATTAAAAGAAGAATTGTGCCTTGGTTTCTCAGTTAATTAAATCTAAGAAGAGTCTCTTGTCTCAGAGGCACACTGCCCTCCCTACTCTCCATGTCTCTTTGTGGGTAGTAGTTAGCTACTGACTGATTAAGAGCAAATTATTTACTACCCCTACCCATCACATACTGACTCACCTGACTCATGGAGTTTAGTTAGACAATGCTGGTTTGTTGAGTCTGAACTGCTTAATTTGAGACATCTGAGGTTTGATGAACTTCGCTGAATCACAGGCAGGGCTCCAGTGGAGCCTTGCCTGGACTTCTGGTAGACTGCCCCAGCCCGCCTGAGATCCTATATGTGCCAGGTCCACAGCTCTAAGGTAATTAATGGGACTCCAGGATTTGTGACTCTGGCATAGAACTGCCAGGTAGAGTGAACCAGGGTTGGGAATCCTGAGATTCCAGAAAGCCCCTGTTTCACAGCAGGATGTCTGTTATTAAATATGACATTAAGGAAAATGCTGATTTCTCTGAGCAGCAACAGCAGGGTCTGGAGTAACAGATAATTCATGGGAATTAGCAAAACTTTCAGGCTTTCACCAAATTTTGAACAGACAGGCTTTCAAACCAACTGGAAGTTTTGCTTTTCGATCAGCCCTGTTCTGCTGTAATGGCCACCATTTTGAGGGCAAAGTGCCAAGGTTTTGGAGGAGTTTTTCTGCTCAACCCAGACAGAGACATGTAAGGAGAATGGCCACTTCTTTTTCTGCAGCGCTAACAGGTGAGATGTAGGCAGGCTGTGCATTCACTCATGTATGGAGAGAGATGGTCCTTTTGCTTACAGCTCTGCATAGTTGCTGTTTTTCCTCTGTATCTGAAAATAGTGTTCTGAATGGGGGAACCAGGAGGGGGGGCAGAAAGGAGGCTCTCACCAGGAGTGGGAGAAAATGTCTTATATTGTCTTTAGTAATGATACTTCACACTTAAATTGTACAGTGCATTTTACAAACACTAGTCAATTAAGAATCAGCTGTGCAGAGTGTCAGTGTAGTGACTTGTCCATTAATCTGTGTAACCAGAATTACATTTCCAATTGCAGCTCTCCTATAGTCTTCGTGGCTTAGCTCTTTTCAGCAGAGGCACTTACCCAGCATTGAGTTTTACACAAAGGAAATTCAAAGAATTTTGAAAGCAGATTGTAGCACAGATATTTTGAAAAGTTGTTGGGCTGGAACTGCCTCTGGGGATGGTTTTCTGCATTCCTCCAATCTCAAAACAGACCTATTTAGGAGAAACTTAATTTGTAACGGCTGAGGGACTGAGCTGTTTTCCTTCAGGGGACCTGTCAATCTGGAGAAGACTCAAAATTACTGGGCCATAACTCTTACCAAGCAATGAGAAAATGGTTCTGGACATCTCTGATGTCCATGAGCTGCCATCAGTGATCAAGTTTGTAATTGCTGCTCAGCGGCTTCATTCTTCCAGTATCAGCTGGCAGAATTACATTTCGCTGCCAGGAAATATTTCAGTGTTCTTCAGCAGCCCCAGCATCTGCCCAGGAGTCCCTGCTGCTACAGCCTTTCAGATTGGCAGAGAAGAGAGAAATAATTGTTCTGGGAGGATTCAGATGTCTTTTCTTTCATTCAAATATGTAACCAATGATTGCCCCTGCCCCAGAGAACTTAGCATCTTTAAGGTAGAGCCTGAGGGCCCCGCACATGGGATCATCATTGCTGTAGGAAAGAACCCTATCACGCATCCATCGACCCCCCACCTTGGCTCCTGGAACTGGTTGGCTAGAGGCCTGTCTTTGAGCCTCCCAGCTCAGCCTCTTTCAAAGAGGCTGACACATGACACGTTTACACCAGCATAACTTGACCTCATAGTGATGTAAACTAAGAGCAGATGCATGACATATAGCCCAACACAAGTGTAACTTACAACTAGAATTTTCGGTGGGGTCACCCCAGTCAGAAGCAGAGGGTAAAACTTCACCAGTGTAAATGACGTCAGTTTAAGTGTCCTGTTTCTGCATCTCCCCTGGGGGTAGTCCACTGGCTTCACCACCTTCTGGCAGTGAATAGCTGCAATAGTGCCAACTGTCTCAGCTCGCCCAGGAAAGCTAGTTGTCAGTTTGCTCCCAACAGTAACTTAAATTGGTGTACAGAACTGACATAAATTGCACCAGCATTAATCTGTTGTGTGTCCAGTCTAAAAAGGACTCTGTAGTAGTACTAGTATATATTCAGAAAAGGGATGTCTAACTGGTGGCTGCAGGCTGTGTGCAGTCCCCAAGGGGTTAATCTGCAGTCTCCAGTCTCCCAATCTTGGCACTGCTCCCCTCACTGCTACTACCAAAGTCTTTGGGCTCCCTCTTTTTTCAGCTTCCACGTCCTTCCCCTGCTCCTGAGGGTGGCACAGTGCAGTCTGCAGGGCTAAGGGACCCACAGCCAGGAGGCTCAGAGGACCCCATGCAATGCAAGAGCACAGGCACAGTGCAGTGGGGAGGGGGCATGCCTGCTACGTGGCCGAGGTGGTGCTGGCATGGGGCATAGGGCAACCAGTGCAAAGTCCCCAGTGACTCAGAAATTGGACAGCCCTGATTTAACATACTGATAACACATAAAGTCCCAAGTTAGGATGGGAGCTATGTGCAAACACAACAAATGCACATGCCCCCCTGAAACATTTCCAGTCTACAGACACAAGCAGACAAAAAACGCTAAGGGATGTGCTTTCAAAATTTACGTTCCTAAGCCATTTAGGTTTTGAAAAAAACTGCCCAGAGTTTCTTATGACAAAACTTGCAGAGTGGCAACTTTGGCTTTGGCTTCCTTTTACACTGTATTCTCTTCTGCAGGTGCTGCCCTTAGATATTGGGTCAGGTAATCATCAGGGCCCCATAGCCTCAAAGCCTTATTTTATTGTTCTTTCTATTTCTTGCTGCTTGTTGTTTCCCAGCCGTTCTAACTCTCCAGCTTAAAGGATTCTGTTTGAGAAGCAGACTATTTTGATTCTTGCTGTAAAATTGTCACCTTATAACATGAATCTGTCAGTTCAGAGCTTCCCCATGTTTCTATAAAACGTGTTGGCACATATAGTTTGCTATCAAATATTTTCATGACTGCCTAAGCAATATTGCATCTGCACTGTAGCATCAACACCCTAAATTGGGATAGTGGGGGTTTGAGTAATCTGTTTTTGGGGGCTTCGGTGAACAAGTATATTCTTTTTCCTGGGAATTGCCAGTCTCCTCTCAATTTATGGGTTTTTTCTGAGAGAAACTATTTCCTAGCAAGAAAACATTTGTCCATTGGAGCTTTCTGTGAATTCTGTGCCTCTGCAGAGGCTTCTAAAATTGCAAGAGACTTGAGCTTTCATCCTAAATGAGGGGAAGGCAGGAGCCTCTCAGAACTGGCATCTCAGCAAAAAACAAAGTACTCTGGAGAAACTCCCACTGGCAGCACCTCTGCCACAAGGTGCAGAGTCCGAGTAGTAAGCTGAACCAGTCCTGGAAGTGAGGTTAATGAGGCAGAGCAATCACACTTCTAAATAGGAAGCATCTGAAAACAAGAATTCTGCTTTGTAAGAATGCTGAGGTTTTCAGGCTTGTTTGGTTTCTGCAGCAGACCAGAACTGATGACTTCCTAAATTTTCATAACAAAATAAGGGGATCAAAAGGGGGAGAGATCCAAAATACTCAGGCTCGGTGTTTAGCATGTTCAGCTGCACTGTTGGAGACCCAGGTTCAGTCCCTATAATGCTTCCTGCTGAACAGGGAATTGAGCATGGGTCTCCTACATCCCAGGCCCTACTCACTGCACGGTAGAGTCTAATGACTTTCTAATTAGTTCCAACAGGAGAGCTCGAGTGTTATGACCCCTCCTATGGAAATGGGTAATGAGAGTTCAAGAGGACCAGGCAACATTTCAGACTCTTTATTGAACAACACAATGCGAGTCCCAAAAGGGTTGACTCACTGGATGGTGTGGCAGCAATCAGCCATGTGTGTTCACTATCTATTGGGCAGTCCAGCATGGATGCAGTGGCAATGGTCTGGCTCTCTTCAGCACCAGTACTCCCTCACTCAGTTCCCACAGCTTTTAGTCTTATAAGTACAGCGATCTTAACATTAGATGTGGACCACAAACAGTATTCAGCATAGGGTCCAATACTCACACAATAAATGCAACATATTAAGTAACCAGTAAGCGTATAATGGTGATTGGCTCAGAGATCTGTTACTATCCCCAGCCTTTTGTCTTGGTGTGAAAAGGGTATCTTTTTAAGTAAGTGTGACTTACTTAACTAAAAGTTACATAGAACTCAATGCAGAATACAACTTAAAGTAAGCATATGACCTACGCAAGGTACTTACTTGACCCTGTAGAGGCTTACACATATATAAGAGGTGTCTTATCCTGGGTCACAGAGGTGTGTATGGTGTGACCTGCAAGGGACCCTCCAGTCCCCTTACAGCAATGTGAGTTTCCATGAATCAGAATTTTTCAATAAAAAACATTTTATCACAAATCCCTGACTAGCTCTAAATAAAGAAAATGGGTAGAATACCTCCAGAGGATAAGATGGGTGGCAGTTGAAGCTCACAGTTGCTGTAAGTATACTGGTCAAACTGAGCATTTCTAGCATGAGCACAGGTCAAATTGGAAAAAGTGTGGTTTTGTCTGTATAGCCTATTCCAGCCCTCCTGAGCAAAATAAGCCATGGTGGCAAATGTGCAGCTTTGCTGGTATGCTTGCATCTATACCAGGGGCTACTTCAAGCCTAGGTACAGCAGAGATCTCACCTCATTGCTCCCCTGCTATGATAAGAAAAGATTATTGTAGACCAGGTTTAAGATATTATGCTAATTCTGTACCTCTATTACTTTGGTTTCCTTTTGTGTAAGCATTTTAAAGGGAAAGGTAGGATTCATATCTTCCATTTACATCATTATACATCATTTAAAAGAAAAAGAGATTGGCTTGACCAGTCTCGTCTGTATTTACATTTTTCCCTCTGTGCTTTACATTGCACCATTATATGTGCCACAGCAAAGACCGGTGTACATGTGTGAATACAGAGGAAAGGTTCATTGCAGGAGAAGCACTTCTCACTGCTGATGTCTTTCTTTTCCAGGAATATGAATTTATAGTGCTGCCCAATGCCTATATGATCCACATGCCGCATGCTCCCAGCTTCGACATCACCAAGTTTCGCTCCAACAAGCAATACCGCATCTGTCTCAAGACCCTGAAGGAGGAGTTCCAGCAGGATATGTCTCGTCGCTATGGTTTTGCAGCTCTCAAATATCTCACGGCAGAGAACAACAGCTAGCACGACAGAACTCATTTATGGGAAACAGACACTGAAGGGAGGAGCCACTTAATGTTTGGGGCCCAGTCTTTTAACTTGGAACTGAAAGACACTTTTTGTTTTTATATCATACCCAGCAGTTCTAACAGTAGAAATTTGAAGTGACATGACTTCAGACTGCTTTCAGTAGTCGCCTCCCTTCCCCCCACCTCTCCACTCCTCCCCTTCCAGCCTTCAGCTTTAGTGTTCGCAAAGGGTGAATAAGAGAGGCTGGACATGCACCTATCATACCGCACAGAGTTGGGAGTGGAGAGTAGGAGGGGAAGGTTTTTGTTCGCAGAACTGCAGAGCAAAGAGAAAATATAGGATTTCATGTTGCTATTTAATAATTCCACATGCTTTTTATTTGTAAAGGAAGATCTTCAGGTCACTGTCCTGTGAAATGCAAATTTACACTACTCTAAAAGGGAACTTTTACCTATGGACTTTCACGGTGGTCCTGATCATATGGATGGCCTTGTTAATGCAGGATGAGCCAAAGGTCTGAATTAGCCTTGGAAATGGAGGGGAAACATATACAACACTGCACTATAGAGAAGGTGTGTTACTGGTGTAGGCATTTTCATGGCATCAGCTGATCTTTTATCCTCAAATTAATTCTGTTTGATTTGGAAACCTCCACCCCCCTCCCTTTCTGCCAGCCCTACCCTCCATTCCTTTTTGTTGAAAGGAAGTGGTCCCCTTCATGCTTCTTGTCCATCCCCAGCTGTAGAGGTCCAGTAAAGAAAAGTGGTGCCTCTGCCAGAATGTGAAGGGACCTGTCAGTGTAAGGTCTGTTTTCACCAGAGCAATTTGTTCACACGTGTCTAGTGAAATACATGGGCGCATTGTAGCCTGTTACCATTTTAAAGGCAAGAAGAGGGATGTTCCCTAGAATGCATTTTCTGCTGGGGATAGTGACCAGCGGGCTCTTTCAGTGCATGTCCAGTGGTGAAAGCATTGCGCCGTGGGCTTTAAGTGGACTTCTTTGCTGAACAGGAAATATAAGCATGGCAGCTAGACCTCAGTAGCCTGGGTGCTGTCAAGCTGCCTGCTGCAGGCTCTCAGAACTACTTCGTTAAAGGAGTTAATAATAAAAGGAGAAAACTGTGAGGAATAAACTCCCCATTTTGAGGGGGAGAAGAGAATGTGTTGGGAATCCGAGTGTGAATGTTTGCTTGAATGTGGGCTGGTCAAGTTCACAACCTCAACATCCATAGAAGTATTTCGGAGGGTGGACAGGACATCTAACAAGCAAAACACACACAGAACACAAGACACTGGACTTTCTACCATTTTCTTTATTCTTCAGTATTAATGTTGTGTTTACATTGGATGAAGAGATGAGGTTTAATGCACTACCCCTTCCAGGGCTATTTGTATTCAGTTGCAATGTTAATAGAGACAGCAGAACCAGCTAAGAGAGAAATGTGTCTCTCTTCCTACCCCCAGTCATGTAGGACAGTATTTAGCAACACCTCTGCCTGGACTGCAGAATGTATCAACACCGCATTTTGCTCGGTTTATTCTGTTGTTTTCCAGTCATTGGACCCTCAGCCCTTTCTCCCCTGCTAATCACTTTAGATCTCAGTTTTCTTTCTAACCTATGACTCCGAGGTTCTATTTTACAGCACATTCAAGACAGCTAAGCCAGATGTCTGAAGTACAAATGTGAGTTAGGCTGGGTACATGTGAGAAAAGAAATGCAAAACAAAAAAGAAAAAGAAAAAACAACAACAAAAAAACAAAACAAAAAAGGAAAATAGCAACATTGTTGACAAGAAGGGGAGGGAGGCTCTATGTAATTGTGATTTTTTTCCCCCCTGGTATTGTTGGCTGTGTAAGTATATATCACTGTTTAATTTTTCCAAAGTGCTTTTCTCTTTTACTTAATGGCTTTATGAGAAGATTTATATAAAAAGGTTTGAGGGGCGAGGAAAAATCAAATAAACACTAAGCCCTGACTGTGGTATATCAGAAAAAAATAGAAACTTCCCTCACTGCTGAGGGCTCAAATCTGCACTGTATAATACTCTCCCACCAAATGCTCAATATGAGTAAGGGTGACAGAGGCTATTCGTAAGAGAGACTAAGGAGTGATGTGAAGCACTGATTTTTCCCTATATGAATTTGCTGGCCAGTCCTTCAGTGTAACTAAAGCAGTTTCATACAGCACTGTTTAAATTCTGGATGTTCACTTGTTCTTTGTTTCACAATGATGCCCCGGGGTGGGAAAGGAACACCATTCTCCATCAGTGTTGGGTTCAGGCTAGACTGTCCTACAAGGCACAACCTGTAGTATGGTACGTTGTTCACCTATGCCATAGCAACGTTAGCTATGGTTCCAGCCCTGCTCTGTCTTTTGGTGGTGATGTGGGGTGGGCCAAGTAGTAATTTGTTGTTGGCTTATGCCAGCAGCTACTTACTACAGCTCATTATGGAGGCTTATGTGTGCTAGCTGAGATAAAGATGGCTAGCTCAAAGACATCTACTATATTAGAGAGGTACAATATTTCTTTATGGAATCTGTGCTGGTTTATTTACATCCTGCCATATTTATCTAGTGGTTATATAATCCTGTTTTATTATCATTTCACTTAATTTCTTTGCTATCAGATTAGGTTTGCTTACTCTCTGTAATTAGCAGAATCCCTCCAGCACCATACAAAAGTACATTTGTGGTACTCTAGCCCTCTGCTACAGCTGGTAATTTTAATGACAGAATGCATATTTCTCTTAGCAGCCTGGTTATTTAATTCTTCTATTCCTCTGAGCTCTTTGATGAATACCATCTAGACCCAGTGACTATTATAATCTTTATAGATTCTTTCTAGCGCCTTCTCTTTTGACACATCAGTCTGTGACATTATTCTAACTTTATTACTTAGAAAGAGTGGGTCTCTGGGTTAGGTGTTCGTCCAACATGTGCTGTGGTGAAGACTGATGCAAATAAACCATTAGTTTCTTGGAAATGCCCTTACTGTCTTTAACTGCTCCTTTTAGTTCATTAGGGGCAGCTTGTCCCACCAGTTATCTCAGGCTTTCTCCTTCTGGTAGACTGAGAACATTTGTTTTTTTTGCTTTATATTTTTAACTATTTTCTCTTTAAATTGCCTCTTAGCCCACTTGGTTTTCATCTTACCATTTATACTCTTTTGCATTGGCTTTGACAGGCCTGGATTTCCATTTTCTGAAGGCTATCAATTAGGCTCAAATAACCTTTTGAAACTTACAATTTAATCATGCTGGTATTTTCTTTTCTTTCTCTTTTATTTGTTTTAGTAGGCATACATGATCTCTGTGACTGTGGTATTCATAGGCATCTTCCATGCTGAGTTTTAACTATTTTAATTTTGACTTAGGGCATTTTTACCTGTTTCTTATTTTCTTTTTAAATGCTTCCCTTCAAAGTCAGCTGTCACCATGCTAGTTTTTTATGCCATTCCCCTACCAAATGATGTTGGACTGAATTATATTGTGGTCGTTATTACTGAATAGATTAACTGCATTTTCTTTTTGAACCAACTTGTGTATGTTACTTAGTATAAAGCTTAGAACAGCCTGTCCTCTTGTGTACTCTAAACTTGTGTTGTTGAGATGCAGTTGATTAAGAAGCTCAGAAGTTACTTCTCTAACTTTTACCATTTGGTAACATTTGCCCAGCCTCTGTATGGGTCACAGCTATTTCCTATTATTAATGTATTATTAGACCAACTTGACTCTTTTTTTTTTTTTCCCCCCCAAACATTATGCCTGCAATATCATTTTCCTGATCAAGAGGACAGAAATATAACCGCATTTGTAAATTTGTATTCTTCTAGTTTGGGATGTGTATTCTGCTCAGCTTACCTCTCCACTCAGAAATTTTAACTCAGTAGATTCACTGGAATCTTTTAAGTATGAGTGCCGTACCCCACCACATGTCTATCATCTGTATAAATTATATCAAGGTCTGACAGCATCCTATTGATTTCTGACATTCCACCATAGATCAGTAATGTCTGTTACTAGGGGTGTGTGAAACAGGTCATATTTGATTCAGATTTTGTCAAACTCAGGGACAGCGATTCAATTAGTTGATTCAGATCACTGTCCCCGATTCAATTCAGCCGAATCTGAAGATTCAATGCCGATTCAGAGAATCAGTGATTCGGACATAGACACAGCTTTAAAGGTTTTTTCTACATACCTTGAGGTACCAGGTGTGGTTCATGATTGCTGCAATGCTGGGGCAGATAGAGCGTCCCACAGGAGCTTGGCAGGGGTGGGGCCCACGTGCTCGGTGGCAAAAGTACTTTCGGTCCACTTCCGCGTCTGCCGCCAAGCACGCTGGGGGCCCTCCCTGCACCTCCTAGGCTCGGCAATTGGCCGTAAGGGAACTCCGGGTGCCCCCCCAGACCCAGGAGGCACCAGTCGCCAAGCCAGGGGGAAACACGGAGGAACCAGAAGTGCTTCTGATCCACTTTCAGATCTGCTGCGGAGCGCACTGGGGAGCCCCCCGTGCTCCTGTGAGACACTCCATACACCCCAGCATCTCAGCATTCATGAGCCACCAGGTACCTCAAGGTATGTAGAAAAAACATTTAAAGCTGTGTCTATGTCCAAATCACCAAATCTTTCTGAATCTCTCCGAATTGATTTGGAAGGTTTCGATTCGATTTGGAAGGATCAGAGGGTCTCCTGATTCAATTCGGATTCGGAGATTTGGCCCCCGAATCAGGCCAGATCTCTGCCTAATTGAATCATGGATCAAAGCTTCGCATGGCCCAATCTGTTATCTCAAGTTCTTCTTCCATTGCCAAACATTCTGATTTCCCTATTTTAGCTTGTAAGTTGCCAAATTGGGAAATGTTCTAGATTGTATTTTTTACCTCTGCACTTTTCAAATTAAATTCCTTAGCCTGAAACTCTGATATATTTCCTGGAATTTAGCAGTATTCTCGACCTGTCCTATTACTCATTTCACCATAATTTCCATTTTATCCCTTACTCAATAAAGAGATACCTTTATATTACTGACATCCTTAGCAGATGGCTTTGTCCTTCCTGAGCTGTCGTTGGACCTATCAGGTTTTCTCAAGCTCCTACTTTCAATAATTCTCTCAAACCTTGCCAGTTTTCTGTGCCAGGAATCTGGTTCCATTTAGCATGCATGTATTTGGTTTTTTGTTTTTGTTTTTTTAATGGAGCCCATTAATATTCTCTTGGGGCCCCTCTACACATGCAGGTAAAGGGACCGTGGGGTCTAATGCGCAATCCACACAATCGCACCTCTTGCCATGCCATACATGCAAGTGTGATTGTGGGATCATGCATTAGATCCCATCGCACCTTATTGTTGGTACAGGGGAAGGCTGATCCCGGGCTCCCCATGCACCAGCAAGAAACAAGCTCCCATGGCTGGGAGCCCCCTTAATTGAGGGACTCTGAGCCACGGGGGTATCTCATACACCCCTGGGCCTGGGGGATTGCAGCTGCCACTGGGGGTACATGAAACCTCCAGGGCTGGGGATCACAGCTGCCATGATCTCCCAGCATCAGGGGTACTGAAACCCCCAGGCCTGGGAGATCATAGCTGCCACAATCTCCCAGTCCCAGGGTTTCATGCACCCCCGGGGCATAAGCTACAAGAAACTGTGATGGTCTGTTAAGTCAGTCATTCCTGCTTTAAAATGATCTGAACACATTGAGTTTTCACCTTTAATATGTAACAGAGCTGCTGGTTTGGCCACACATTCTGCCGTCAATGAATCCAAGATCCCATCTACTTATTACAAATGTTGCAGTTAGCTAGCTAATTGTGCAATTGCCTTGAGACCAGCTACACATGCAAAGTAGCTATCATGCCAGGTTTCATGCACTCCCAGGGCAGCTGCACCCCCTGGCTGTTGGGATTCAGCTGGGTCCTGGCACCCAACATCTGTTGCTGCAGGATTCTGGGTCCCGGCAGCTGTGGGGTGCTGCCACGACCCAGAGTAGGCAGCTGCTGGAGCTGAGAGTCCCCTCTGTTGCAGAACTCCCAGGCCCAGCTGGGCATGGTGCACCCCTGCAGACCTTGCTTCATGTGCAAATTAAAGCTCAATACCAACCAGATGTACAATTAGTACACATTTTCAAGGTCTATTCTTATAGCTGGTTGAAGCTTTATATGGCATGATAGCTACTTTGCATGTGTAGCTGGTCTCAAGGCAATTGCACAATTAGCTAGCTAACTGCAATATTTGTAGTATGTAGATGGGACCTTGGATTCATTGATGGCAGAATTTGTGGCCAAACCAGTAGCTCCAACACCATTTTACTTACAACGGTATGAATGACACCACTGTATAATATTAATTGCATAGTATCTGTTGCAGCATAGTAAACACTATCATAGAGAGAGAACCATGATGATAACTTCACCTGGGATGCAGCCACTATCTCTTTAAACAAGTAAAAATAAAGCCCTAACAGGCATGAGCCGTTAGATTTATATATGCCCTGTAAGAGTACATTTCATGCAATGTTTTGTTAGGTACAATAGTATATTTTCTAATTTAATATCAAGTATATATTTTAATGCTTTTATTTTTACATTACTTTTTATTCAAATACAACTATAATTCATGTCAGGCAGATGATATGCCCTCCATATCTTGACAGTTCCCCCATCTTTGTGGCCACCATCTATCTGCCTAATGGCCACTGTCTGTTTTTTAGCTAAGGAAGACTGGCCAGGACTTCATGAGCTGTTGCTTGTTAATCAGCAGAGAGACATTGCAAGACACTCCCCCCAGCTCTGCTAGATACCATAAGGGTGTTCCTTAGAATTCAGTGGACTGTCAGCAGAACCCAGCAACTCAGCAAATGGAAGGAGGATCAATAATTATAAAGGTAAATGAGTTCTGTTTTGTTAGATTGTGAGAGTGCCAAATGGGAAGAACAAATCCATGGCCATTGCTTTTGTTCCAGAATTTCAAAGCCAAGAAGTATTACTTTAAAAATTAAGTTTCTGTATCTCCATTAAACCAGACTGGAATAAATGGGCTATCTGCATGTGATGACAGAAAATAAACTAACATTTCCATTCTGATCCTGAAGATGCAGAAACATAATTGACTGGTAAATGTTCTAACTTTTTTTTATGCGAGTAGTTCATGATTTGTAATTAGACTATAAATAGGCATGCCTGCATACTTTACTGAATGAGGAGGACTTTTGTATTTATTTATTTATATATGTTTAAAGGAGAACTCAAGCACCAAGTTTTGAAAAGGAAATCTGGGCATGTGTGACCTTTATAGTTTGGGAGAACATTTACAATCATAGATCTAAACTGCCATAGCTTTCTTAGAGTCCTCTTTCCACCTGCCTGGCTTTCTCACACACCTGCTCCTGAAGGCAGGCACAGAACTCTGTTAAAAATAAGTTGTTATTTGTGGTGGTTAATATGATTAAATGTTTTTCCTAGAAAAATTTTTCTGGATACTTTGTGCACTTGCTCAAAAAAGTTTAGCTGCTGTGGCCTGTTGAAGAAACATTTGTGATCTAGGCAGAAGGACAAACATTTATTCATCCATTGGGCCATATCAGTCTGTTTATCCATACATATTGATAGTTGCTGTAGTGGAATGGTTGACTTACAGATAAAATCAGTAGGCAGAGTTTTTAAACCCCAGGTTACAAATCAATACTACTTTTTGTCATCCCGTAGCTTAGTACCCACCATAATGGTTTGAATGGTTTATTTCACACAGATAATTATGGTTTCAACAAAGTGAGAAATGTTCTATGATTTGTGACCACTTCAAAATTTAGTGGAAACCATTGTGGAGTATACAAAACCAGCATGCGACTCTCAGAGAATCATAGAAAAGTAGGACTAGAAGGGACTTCTGGAGAGCCCCCTGCCTGAAGCAGGATCATCCCTATCCAAATCATCCTGTGCAAATCTTTGTCTCACCTGTTACTGAAACTGCAGTCAGCTCTGCCATACAACCAAGGCATAGCAACCTAATAATCAGTTAAAATCCATAAGCATTAAGGATGTTGTTAAAATACAAAGAAAAATGGTTCTGATGTCAAGTTGAAACTTTGACTTGACACACTGTCATTACCCTCAACTTGTTTCATAGGCCTCCAACAGATGAGACCAGTTCAAACCAAGCTAAGATATAATTCTCATTTACAGTGTGTATGTACGTGTGTGAGTGAGCGTGTGCATGTGTGTGTGCATATGTGGTAACTATATATATATATATATATATATATATATATACACACAGATTTTTATGTTTATATATATATAAAAGAATTAAAACCAACTTAAAACACATTATTAAAGGTACAAATTCAATCACCCAAAAATGAAAAGTTGCCAAAATGAAAGTTGTTTGTGCAACTTTAATTCAGTCCCCTTGTGCAGCTGTATTATGATACAGACTTTGATTATCTGTTCCTGTCCTACCTTGTCCTGAAGACTCCTGTTTCATTTAATGCGCAGAATGGATGGTGCTCTGGGAATCAGGCAGCTGCCTGATATTTCTTTTTATCCTCACCGGCATTGATCTCTGAATAATATTTTAATTTCCTTCATTCTGAGGAAAGATAGGCTTTTATTTTTCAAAGAGTAGGTATGAACTGTGGTTTGGGGGTGGAAAAAAATTGATCAAACCTTATGCTTTGGGTTTTCTGAGTAGATTGCTTAGGGCACCATTCTGTAACCACTTCTTAAGTGGGGGGCCCTGCCTAGTCAATGGAAGTTGTACACAGAGAAGTCTTGCAGTATTGGGTCCTAAACATAAGTATTTAAAAATGTGAATCTGCAAGGTAA